CTCAGTTCAACTGGCCTCCACTGACATCTGATCTTTCACCCTCCACCTTGACTGTGCAAATACTGCCAGTTGATGCTAGCCCTCCATCTGAACTGGAGAGTACCCGGAAAATAAGTTAACTCAAACGGCATAAGGCTTCCGGCCCCGAAGGGCTGTCCCCATCGGTTTTTAAGGATGGAAGTTCAGCCTTGGTTTCGGAGTTAACTAAACTCCTGGGCTCGGTGTGGGAGAGGGAAGAGGTTCCAGTTGAATGACGTGAATCGGTAATCATACCGATTTACAAGAAATGCGACAGGTCTCCCTGTGAAAACCACAGAGGAATTAGTTTAATTAGCATTGCCTCTAAACTTCTCGTCGGCATCATACTCCGACGATTCTGCCGCACGTGAACGGTGCACGCGTGAGAACCAGGCTGGTTTTAGACCCGGTCGAAGTTGTATCGACCAAATCTTCACTCTCGGCTAAATTCTGGAGCATCGACATTCCTTTCGTAGACCCATCACCTCTGCTTTTCTCGATTTGAAAGCGGCTTTCGACTCAGTCGACCGCTCTAAACTCTGGTGTGCCTTTTTCTGAAAGGTGCCCGAGAAGNCGAGAAGTTTATTTTTATCTTACGATCGCTTTTATACTAATAGCCGAAGTCGAGTCCGGGCTTACGGCACTTTTTCGCCAAAGTTCACCATAGAAAGTGGTGTTATTTAGGGTTGCCCTCTCTCTTTTTCTATTCAACTTTGTTACATATTTGATTATGGAAACAGCCCTATCCTCGTGCGAGGAAAGTGGCATCGATTTATTCACAGGTGGCAGACTATCTCATCTAGAGTCGGCGGACAACATTGTGCTACTAAGTGAAGATGCAGGTAAAGTGCAAGCTTTTTTGGACAGCTTGAATGCCAGTGTAGCCATATTCGGTATGCGTTTTGCACCTTCGAAGTGCAAAATGTTACTACAAGACCGGGTTGATCAAGCACCGAGCCTCACTGTAACCGTTGAAGAAATAGAGCAAATGGAAAAGTTTTGTTATTTAGGCAGCTACATCTCACCCGGATGAAGTGTCCGCTTGCATACAGAAGGCTCGGTTGGCATTTGCCAATTAGAGACATCTGTGGCGCCGTCGCGACATCCGGTTGTCTGTGAAGGATCGAGTGTATCCCGCGGCAGTTCGGTCAGTTCTGCTCTACGGAGTAGAAAGTTGGTAATTAAGAAAACAGGACAAAGATAGATCGTCGGTGTTTGAACACCGCTGTGTACGCAGCATTGCACGAATCTGGTGGGGCAGCCGGATGAACAAGGTTAAGCGCACAGTTTTGGGTATCCTCGGTCGCCCACCAGAGGAAGTGATCGACCTCCATAGATTACGTTGGTTGGGGTATGTCTTACGCATGTCACCAGATAGGTTGCCACGGCGAGTGATGTTTGCCGAGGCAAGTAATGAATGGAAGAAAGTCAAGAGTGGCCAAGCTAAGACCTGGCACGAGGGTATGAAAACCCTGACCAGGAGTCTGGGCCACATAGGTCCCATTAGGCTCCCTGGCTGGGGACCTGGGGGAAGATCGTAACCGATGGTTAGAGACACTGAGTGATATGGCTGGGTGTCGTAAACAGTGACATTCTTGCATCTTGTCAATTTCTTTGCAAACTTAGACCACTGGACTTCTCCATTTTCTGTTCGACTCTACCTTCAACTTTCTTGTCCTATTATTCATCCAAATGGACAGCCAAAAGACAGCAACCAAAACCGGCGCACGAAAGTGCATGGTTAATGGTTGTTCAAGCTGGAAAACTGAAACTGCTTGACAGAAACAGTCCGTGGTCAGCGCAAAGTTGTAGTAGGCGTTCTTCAGTCTTAGTCCGGTTAGTTGGGATTGCATGAGAACCACCAATTAACTTTTCTGATTCGTCCAGGAGCCCCACTTGAACCTTGAAGTCTCCAACGACTACCACGATGTCCGTTGACCGAGCCTTTCGGAGCAGTCAAGAGAGGTTCTTATAGAATTCATCCTTTGTTTTTGGTGAACTGCAATCAGTCCGCGCATATACGGATACGACGAATAAGCACCGACGCTTCATTCCGTAGCTGTTGAAATTATTATTACTATTATTACACCAATCTAGCTGTTGATCCGTACTGTTTCATCCAGACGCACAGTGCAAAGTCGGCTACTAACCGGGATCCAGTGGAGCAGTGAACGTTCGGTCTTGACATTCAGCGCGATCCCAACACTAGCAACACCGCGAGCTTCAGATGTCGAATCGCCTGACACATGGAGAGTGAAGCGTGAGAATGAAGTTAGATCTGGAGAATGCAGAGAGGTGGTTGAAGTAAGGTCTTGTATGCGTGTTTCGGAGACAGCATACATCTAAATGGAAGGTCCTAGCTAAGACAGCTTGTTGACCGATCTAGTAGAGTGTGCGGACATAAAATGCGGTTAAGTAAAAGGGAGATTTTGGTTTTAAAAGTCGGATAGCCTCTGAGCGGTTGACCTCATTAGTTGAACGCTGAGTGATATCCCACGGGGGCATCTCCGGATGCATCTCCTAAGGTTCGGGAGTGAGAAGAGGAAGTGGATAAATGAGAAAGATGGTTTTCTAAATGGGTGTCATATTCTGGTTATCTTGTTTATACACCCTCTTATATTGCGTATTACATAAACCTCTCTCTTTATTACAGCTCATGTACCGGATTTATTAGTTGAGTAAAGCGTATAATTCCGACTCCGAGTCTTCTCAGTTCCGCTCTCGTTTGCTTGATTCGTAAAACGTTACAATTTACTCAACTAATAATGGACCGTTACCTTCGACCCGACAAGTTTGATGTCGACCTGAACGCCCCTGACGCTTCCAAACAATGGACCTACTGGATACGCACTTTCAACGCCTTTCTAAAGCGAATTCAGTCCGATGACACAGACAATCTGGACCTACTCATCAATTTTCTGGCACCCTCTGTCTATGAATACATCTCAGATTGTAAGTCATTTGAAAACGCTATCTCCCTGCTCGAATCGCTGTACGTTNGTACCTACTTTCTACCTGTAAACAAGACGCTGGGCAGAACATAGACCAGTTTGTCCAAAATATCAAAACGCTAGCTAAAGACTGTAATTTTCGGGCCGCCTCAGCCGAAGAATACTGCGACGATGCTATGTGCGACGCATTCATAACAGGACTGCAGTCTCATGTCATTCGTACAAGACTGCTGGAACAACCATCTCTAAACTTTCAGTCGGCATACGATATGGCCA